ATGTCTTATCTTTCCATGCACTAGGTCTTATTTTTGGGGAAACACGGTAAGTATCCAGTCATCCAGTGGGTGGTTCCAATCAAAGGGTAATATGCTAATGATATGTTATGACTGCGCAATTGCTTGCTATGACGTGCACTGACCACCAGGGGGCAGGTGGTCACCTGATCAACCAGTTGCTATGACATGCACTGACCATCAGATGCTCCAACAGCCAATTGGGACTGAATGAGAAATGCTGGACATGCTCTGGAGCCCTCCCATATCCCTCTCTGGCCCTGATAGTGCACTGGTGGGGTTCCTTGCCTGGCCTGCACCCTCTTGCAATCTTGGACTCCTCGGGGGAAGTTGGAGAGCCAGATTCAGCCCCATCCTACAGGCCAGGCTGAGGGCCCCCACTGGTGCACAAATTTATGCACTGGGCCTCTAGTACAATATAAAATATAAATATGTAATATAAAATACAAGTATCAAAATAAACATCACCATACACAAGTAAGAATTAATGAATAGAATATTGACAACTATATAATTAGAAGCCTTAAAATGCAAAAGTGGAATTTTTATAAAGTATATTAATGGGTTGTCATTACTCATTAGCCTGTGCTAAAGCCAGAGTTGACTATCACATCATAAATGCTGTGCTTTGAAAAATAATATGACATTGAAACACTACATGAGCCTGAAGAGTAAACTTTTGGGAGATGATCAGAGGGAGCAGTTATAAAACACGTAATAGGATAAAAGTTCAACTACATAAATATTGATGGTAATTATCTAGGAATTAAAGGCATGGTTAAAACTGTCCATGGCATGTGAGAATTAAATACTTTAAAGTAAAGGAAATCTCCTGGGGGAATATAGTGGGAGACCCTTCTACAAATTGGTGCGTTATGACAATTGCATCATTTTATGAGGGCTTTGACTTGATCATCCAAGAGTGGTTCATAGCTCTTCTCTAAAGGAAATTCATAAATAACCTGAACAACTACAAAATTCTAAAGCAGAAGCTTCTGGAAGTATACCATCTAGAACTGAGGTTTAATTGAGAAGCACAAATATTGAAAAAGTTGAGAAGAAATTATTACCTGAAAGAAACTTAGGATGATCTTCATATATGATAAAAACAACTGCATAATGCTAGTCAGTGTGAAATTACTAGGCTCTTCAGAAGAGCAGTCATTACATGTTAAATATGTAGTTCCAACTAAAAGCGTTCCTCAATTTTATTTATTTATTTATTTATTTATTTATTGTTATTCTTATACAAACCACAGCCAAAATACAGTTAACATGATTTCTAGTTTAACCTTCTTCAAAGTGAAATGGGAGCTTCAAAGCTAATTGTAAAGCAATCTGGGTACATAATCCTTCCGAATTTTATTTTTATTTATATTTATTTTTTTAATAAGTATTATTGTCATCATTTAAAAATTGTGCAAAATGACAAATAGTAACAGCCTCACTGGTAGATTTCTTTTCACTTTCATGAAGATAAAAACAATTGCACCCAGCCAGCTTGGCTCAGAGATTGAGCATCAATCTGCGAACCAGGAGGTCACGGTTCAATTCCAGGTCAGGACACATGCCCTGATTGTGGGCTCTGGTTATAGGCTCCATCCCCAGTGGGGTGTTTGCAGGAAGCAGCTGATCAATGATTCTCTCTCATCTTTGATATTTCTGTCTCTGTCCCTCTCCCTTCTTCTCTGAAATCAACAAACATATATTTTTAAAAACCAACCAAACAGTTGCATTGTTCACATGAATGTAGTAACCATAAACATATAAATTATCATCTCTCAGTGAGTCACTTGATTTTATTAATATTTTTAAATTTTTTATTAATAAAAAATTATCACTAAAAATAAAAATGAGAAAATATTTGAGGAATGTATAAATTTATGATTGTTTAGGGAAATGATGCTTTGAATTACATAAAATATAATTCTGAATTTACAGTAATACCATATTAATACATTTTTCTTCAAGAACACACATATGTCTTTACACAAACGTTTATTCAATGTTAACACAAATGAACAATGAATTCTCTCTACACAATGGTGTAAATAAACGAAGAGGAAAAACAGTAAGAAAATGTAGTAACTCAGAATAGTCATGGAGGAAAATCCACCAATGAAAATGGAATATAAATGGCACAAGAGAGTCCTGGTCAGCCTCAGTGTTGCTTCCTATGTCATTTGCACTAATTAATTTTCTTCCAGATTATTCTGGCTTGCAAACTCTGCGTTAGAGACTGAAACACAAATCAGTTTCTCTGACAACGAAAGGAGCAGGGTGGGTCTGCTGATGCAGTGCTGTCCAGGAAAATGCCTTTGACTTTCTAACATGGGATAAAAAGCAAATTCCTCTGTAATCCGCACTGGATTTAGGCTTATTTGAGTTTAACGGAGGCTTGACATGCTGCAGGGAAAGAAAAGAAAAAAAGGAAATTAGTACAAGGTTCATATATTTTGTTAAAAAAAAAAAAAAAAAAAAAGTAAAACAAAAAGACACAAATACCATTCTTTGTAATACACCAGTGGGTACTTCCTTATTGGATAAATAACTTTAAGCTGAATCCCGTACAAGATGTTTTTTGACATAATGTCAATTTTCAGCTTGCTTTCAAGCCTTAATTAGATTCATACATTTCCGTGCAATTTCTGTTTGAGCAATTGAGACATTTCTGAGCTCGGAGACATGCTTGTTAGCAGGGGGCGGTGGAACCCATCGTTTATCTTTTGTTTTACTCAGCACGGCTTCAGCCGGTGATACCACGCCAGGCAGGATATGATCAGCAATGCTTTTAATTTTGAAGTCTGTAAATCATAAATTATTTTGGAAATTTATAATACTTTTATATCTAGGATTTGTTTTTTCCATAAAAGGAATAATTTAAAAAAAATTTGCTCTCAGTGGCTGAAAATATTTGATGGAGAATGGATGAAATAACTGCTGTTTGAGCTGGAAAGGGAGAGATGCCTTGGATATAGAAATGATGAAGAAGATGATGATGATGATGATCAGCATCATCATCATCATCATAGTTTATCTGCATCTGTCTATATGCCAGCATAGTTTATCAGCATCTGTCTATATGCCAAGCACTCTGCTAAGCAATTTACATAAGCTTAACTGACTGAACTCTGTGAAGTATGCACAGTTATTTTCAATTTCCAGATGGACTCGAAGGATTAGAGAGGCAAATAACATATCCAAATTCTTAAGTTGGTTGATAGTAGAAGCAATTATCAAACACACCAAATCAAATCAATACTCACACAAGTAATTGTAATTTCACAGTTTGAGTGTACAATGAAGGAAATACACTGAAGGAAATAGCATCTCTCAGCGAATCACTTGATTTTATTATTTTTTTTTAATTTTTATTAATAAAAATGATTACTGAAAATAAAAATGAGAAAATATTTGAGGAATGTATAAATTTATGACTGTAAAGGGAAATAATACTTTGAATTACATAAAATATAATTCTGAATTTAATACCATATTAATACATAGTATTAAGTTGGAAAGGGAGAGATGTCTGGGATACAGAAATTATGAAGAGGATGATGATGATGATCATGATCATAGCTAATGTTTATCAGCATCTGTCTATATGGTCTGATAACATCTGGGTAAGAGAAGAACCCCCAAGAAAAGGGAGTTAGGTGGCATGCAAAGAGCAAACGGTGGTGCCTGGTCACTACACTCTATGATCTCACTGTCTTAAACACTATTATCATTCAGAAAATCAGGAACACCCCGAATCTGGAGAAGGTAGTTTGATATGCTGTATCGTAATCTTGGTGAAAACATCATCAAGTCACCAGGGTATGCAGTGCGAAAGGAAATTGATGGTAAGAACATAAAAAAATATTCTCTGTTATACTTAAGAGTCTGGCATGTGATGTGTCTAGTATATGTAGGGCATTCTTTTAACAGCCAGTGTGACTAGTACATCAGAATCATGGGGAGCGGTGTAGCATGGTGAGCCTGGAGTGGAAGGAACCACGTTGGAGTAGCTTTCTATTGCCTGCCAGCAGCGTAATCTTGCTCTTTGTTCTAGGAGCAAGGCGAGGCCACTACGGGTTTTAAACAGAAGGGGAGTGATCCAGTCCCACCCGTGTTTGAGAAAGATCGCTCTGGTTGCAATATGTATGAGAGATAAGTGAGTGCTCACCTAAGGAATAAAAGCGTGGTGCAGGCTGGAGACATGGATGTGGAGAGAATTCACCATGTGACTGATAGTTCAGCTGATGCTGTAGGTGCCTGCCTGAATCCGTTCAGCCAACGTGGTGGTCACCTGTGCCTGGTTCCAGACATGCAGAGGGCACTGGTCTCTGTTATTCAGAATGTGCTCTTGCCATGCATTGCTTGGTCCCCTTGTGAAGCAGGCAGCAGGCCAGGGAGCAATCCTCACCCAGGACAGACTAAAGGAGGCTGGTGGGTAACTACCAGATCCTTCATCCTCAGGGAGGAGAGAGTGTGCAGGCCTGTAGCACGCAGTCTATCAGAGGTACTTCAGAGGAACTGAGCCCCAGTTGTTGGTACCCAAACCCTCCCTGTTAATATCATCTGTGTTGTGGGCTTTTCTTTCCTCTCTGTACCTCTCTCATAGATTCCTGGGATCTTTTCCCAAATAAAATACCCTTGCATCCAATCCTGGCTTCAGGGACACCTTTGCTGGCAACAATTGGATTCCATGATTTTCTGGTAATGGCAGAGCAGGATAAAAGGAAACATTGGTGATGAAACCTGCTTTTTGTCTTTTAGAACAGGATGAATATTTAATTCATCTTTTTAAAACAAGGGATCATGTTTTTGAAGGAAGTGCATGAGAGCAATGGTGACACCCAATAGCAACATCAAGGAGGCACTCACTTTTCTGGCACAAATACAGGTTGGAGCTGTGTGAGTTTAAAAATCATGGACATCCATGTGGTGGCAGGATTGAGGATGACATTGCCTGAGCTGAAAGTGTGCAGCAATAGGAGGCTCTAGAGCAGTGGTTCTCAACCTTCCTTATGCCACGACCCTTTACTACAGCTCCCCATGTGGTGGTGACCCCAACCATAACATTATCTTCGTTGCTACTTCATAGCTGTAATTTTGCTCCTGTTATGAATCTTAATGTAAAGATCTGTGTTTTCCCATGGTCTTAGGTGACCTTGCTAGCAGTTCTAGCCCCTACTTAGAGCCTAAGACCATCAGAAAACACAGATATCTACATTACGATTCATAACAGTAGAAAAATTACAGCAACAAAAATAATTTAATCGTTGGGGATCACCCCCACATGAGGAGCTGTGTTAAAGGTGGAGACATTGGGAAGGTGAGAACCACTGCTTTAGAAGGAAGCCACCAGAAAGCCTACAGGAAATGGCCAATTGTCAGAGAATGAACTCGGGGTGCAGCTAGGAGAGAGGCAGGACAGTGGCACAGAGGAAATGAAGCTATGTGGTGGCCCAAAAGCAAAGGAGTGCCTCCCCATGTTGGGAACCTTCCTTTCCAAGAGCGGGTTATAGGGGCATACGCAGGATTATGCGCTGGGACAATTCTGCTTTCTGCCTTCTCACAAATTTAGAGTTTGGATGTTTAATACCCCTTTTAACAGTCCAACGTAAAATAGGTATAAACTGCCACTTTCCTGTATTTTATCCATACTAATGCAAATTACAGTGATGCTTTTAGTCTCCATCTATAAAGAGACAGGACAGTATTTTAAAATACAATTTTCTTCTATATAATAAAAGGGTAATATGCAAATTCACCCTAACAACAGAATGACCAGAAAGACGGCTGGAGCAGCCCCTATAAGGCACACTGACCGCCTCTTGGTCCGTTTCTCCCAGCCAGCAGACTCTGATGGCCTGATGGCCACCCACTGTGGGAGGGGGCTGGGGCCAGGGCCAGCGAGTGGACGGGAACAGCTGACCTCTCAGTCCCTTCCCCAGGCTGTCAGGCACTGATCACCTGATTGGCAATCGAAGCAAATGGTGAACTACGATTGGGGTGTGGGGTGGGGGGTGGGGCCAGCTGCGGGCAGCTCAGGGAGATGGCGCTGATCGCAGGCCTGGCCTGAGGACCGTACCCCTGCACGGATTTTGTGTGCGGGGCCTCTAGAGTTTCTATAAAAGAAATGATTACAGAACAAGCACCAACAGGAATATTTGAGTTCCTTTCTGTGAAGAATTAGACTATAACTGCAAAACTAAAAACTTTTACCATTAACGTGCCATTAACTGCATTTCCATTTCCCTCCCCAAGGGGAGCCTCATTAGGGGAAGGGTCACGGACACTGACCTTGAACACCTGCAGGCATGTTCACTTCGGCTGTACCACCTGACCAGTAAAGAGTGTGACTAATCATACCAGGCATATAGGTTATTAGCTAATAGGTCCATCAGTGCTATTTGGGGCTCATAAGTGCTGTATTGCTAATGGCTGCTAAATAGTAAGGGCTTTATTCAGAGGCATTGATGACATCTGAGGAAATTTTCTATCACATGTGGATACTATAATACTCACAGCTAGAATTCAAGCTATGGCCTCATGATCAAGGCTCATTCGAGATATTAGATTGGATAAAAACTTTTTTAAAAGCATACTTTTTAAAAATTTTATTGATTTCAGAGAGGAAGGGAGAGGGGGAGAGAGATGGAAACATCAATGATAAGTGTGAAAAGCAGCTACAGAGTTTGGACAGTTCAAGCCTCAGACTGATGAGAGGGCACAGTCCTCTCATGGCCACGTGCAAGTCCAAGCGTGGAGGGCAGAGCCCTCCCAGCACAATGATAGCCAGCAGCGGTGGTTGTGAGTGTGAACCTATGGTCCAAACACGTGGCCCCATGTACTTGAGTGATGTCGGATTTATAGAGTTCAGGTGCATGTAGTTGAGTAGGATCGAAACCCACGAGAATGTTGTAAACATCTTGACCACGCCCTTACTTTGCCTCTTGCATCTGGCTATGAAATAAAGACTTGGCTTGGCTCCATCAGAGAGCGCAGCACCCCACCCAGACCCAGCTTTTTTCTCTTGTCTGTCTTAGTCCTTCACCGCCCCCTCTCAGGGTCACTGAACCTGGCTGAGTTGGCGTGGCACTTAAGGTGCCCTGGGATTGAGTATGCCATGGCCATGCCGGCTCTCTACAGGTAAGAATTATTGATTTAAGTTGGCATGCCATTTCTAACAATATTTTTTAGGTGGCGTCATTTTTCTTTTATTGCCCAATGTATAAATGTCCTTCCAGTCACAGCTGTGTCTTCATAGTCTAATGAATAATTATTTTGATTTTTCGAGGCAAAACTTAGATACTTTCATCTGATTGAAAATGCTTTTATTATTTCTCCTGTCTAAACATGGCCAACTATCAAGGATGGGATAATGTGTCTTCCATGGCATCATCAACTAATGAAGGCCTTTAATGATGGTCATACATTAAATTGAGTGCTATATAATAATAGAGGCCTGCTGCATGAAATTCTTACATGGGAGGGAGGGTCCCTCATTCTAACCTGCACCTTCTCCAGTCCAGGACTACTCAGGGGATGTCCAACTGTTGGTTTAGGCCCGATCCCACAGGGGTTAGGACTGCTGATTCCTAACAGCTCACCTGCCTGCCTTATCTCTCCTAACTGCTCTTCCCTGCCAGTCTGATCCCACTAACTGCTCTCCCCTGCCAGCCTGATCCCCCTAACTACTCTCCTCTGCAAGCATGATCACCCCTTATCACCTCTTCCTCAGCCCAGCCACGTGGCTTTGTCTGGAAGGACGTCCAGATGGCCATCCGGAAGATGTCCAGTATAATTATAATGTTACCCTATTATTAGTATAGATGTGAATATTTCACTGTTTCTCGTGTGTTTTTTAATGCTTCAACATTTTACAAACTCACTGAGAACAAAAGTTTCCTACCTATTTATCCAGTGGACCAGACTGATGGCTTTATCCTCTGTCAGATTAGATCTGAATTTCATTTGCAATGCTCATTCTCTTTGGGATAGAACACCAATTGCATGAGTTCTCTCTGTTTGAATTTCCTCACCCATAAAATGGAGAGGGTAACGGTACCTCCCACCAAAGAAATATCTGAGAATGAAATTAGGTGGTTTACAGGACACCTTTAGTAAAGTGTGTATACATACTATTTTCTCAGTAAATGCAATTAGTAATTTGGAGATGCATTTGCTTATTATAAAATTAAAAAATATGTATATTCATCAGTATAAATTTGTAATTTTAAGAAGGAAACATTGTAGTATTTTATATAATATTTATTAATAAGAAATACATATTATGAATTTCAAAATCTTCAGGAAAGTAACAAATGCTTGTGATCAAAGGAAGCAAGCTTAGTTAAAAAAGAAATAGGATTTATAAAGGAAAATAGCAATATTATCTTACATATAACCAATTTATTTTACAGAAGCTTAAATATTTGTCATTTGAATTCTTCACAAAACTTGCAAATGATTATATTCAATAGCATGCACATGGTAAACTAGAAAAGCATCTAATTGCATTTTAATTTTATAGTATTTGAGGGAGTTTGATTAATATTTTTGATCAAACTTGAGTCAATTTATAGTTGAATTAGCCTGTTCTCTGGATAATTTCTAGGGGTTGCACATTTGCTTGATTTAGAGACAAATACACTAAAATGAGGTAAGGGTATTCATTTCTACAATGCAATTTAGCACTGGAGGACTTAGTATTAATAAACTAGTTAGTTTTGTCTAACATTATGTTTTTACTTAAGTGCCACAAAATCATTTGTGATACATAACTATGGCAGTCCAACAGGAACCCTTATTTTGTTTATATTTATTTGTTTTTGTTTTCCGTAGTTGCTTAGCTTGCTTTTGGCCTTTGTCTTCAGATAAATGCCAGGTGAAAGAGGGTGAGAGATGTGACAGTTTGATTTACCTGCGTGTGTGAGATTGAATAGCAAGGTGGGAAGCAATCTGACACATCTGGACCACTCATTTTTCTTGATCTGAAATTAATGCGCCCAAGATTAAAAACTGCCTCCTACATGTTAGAACTGTGTCTGTGTGTTAACTTTTCTAATTTTAAGACCATAGTTCTTTCCAAAAACACAATATGGATAATTAACGTGCTGAAAGAGGCCCATACTAGGATTATAAATGGTGAGTTATTAAGAGAAGTGAGGTTATGTTGCATTGTGCCCAATTTCATGACACTATCAAAATGTTTACCAAAGTTCTGTTACGTGAGTGTGAATATTAGTACTGAGTAGTGGTGAAGGCTATACAATATGAATGTACTTAATTCTGTTAAACTGTGCACTTCAAAAGGATAAAATGGTAAATTTTATATTATGTATATAACAGTAACAATTACTACTATATTTAGGAATTCACATTATATTTCCAGCTCATCTCATTAAATAATTTGCATATTTTATCTATTCTGCCTATTTAAAGTTTTACTGTATTGGACTTTAACTTGTTATTTTATATTCTGATATATGAAACATTGAGTGGAAAAAATTGTTAAATCTACAATTCACATATCCTATATAATAAAAGCCTAATATGCTAAGTGTCTAACTATTCGACCTTTCGACCAGTAGCTGTGGTGCACACTGATCAGCGGGGAGAAGATGCTCTGACTGGTAGGTTAGCTTGCTGCTGGGGTCTGGCCCATTGGGACTGGGCAAGACTGGCCAGACACACCCTGAGTCCCTCCCATGAGCCCTCCCTTGCCCCAATTGTGCACCAGTGTTGTCCCTCGGCCTGGCCTGTGCCCTCTTGCAATCCAGGACCCTTTAGAGGATGTTGGAGAGTTGGTTTTGGCCTGATCCCTGCAGCCCAGGTCAAGGGACCCCACTGGTGCATGAATCCACCATACCTTTAATTTCAAAGAAAAGCAAAATGTCAGAGAGGCTTCATGTTACATGTGTACATTATTTTAATTATCTTATTTCTCTGTAATCTTGGACATTTTACAAAATAATTTCTGAGTGTTTTCCTCTTCTATTTGGTTGTAATCTTAGCTCTAGTAATCACTAAAGTAGAAAGAATCAAAGTAATAGGTAATGTAAAAGGATGATGCTTGTATTTCAGGGAGACCATTTGATTTAATACTCCTTTTTCATAGATAGCACTTTCTGTTTTTTATTATGTCAGGGTGTTTTCT